CTGAATGAACTCAGAAAGGAGTTAGAAATATTGAAGAATACTCAGGCTGAAATGAAGAAGGAAGTGAGACACTCAGTAAGCCAATTAGAAACAACAGGAGAAAGCCTCACCAATAGGATGAATGAAATGGAAAACAGAGTATCAAGACTGGAAGATAAAGGAGACAAAATAGACCACTCAAGAAAAGAGTATGAAAAATTCAAGAAATCACAAGAATGGAATATGCAGGAATTGTGTGACACCATAAGAAGACCAAACTTATGAATCATAGGCATACAGGAAGGAGAAGAATCCCAACATGATGGCATGAACCAGGTTGTCAACACAATCGTGGAAGAAAATTTCCCAAAATTAAAGACATGCCCATACAAATACAAGAAATATAGAACACCAAACAGGCAAGACCAGAAAAGAAACTCTCCACAGCACACCATAGTAAAAACACTAAATGTACAAAACAAAGAGACAATACTGAAAGCTGCACAAGAGAAACAACAAGTCACATATAAAGGAAAACCCATTAGGATTATGGCTGACTTTTCAGTGCAAACTATGAAAGCCAGAAGAGCGTGGACCAAAGTATGCCAAGTTCTAAATAACCACTGATGTCATCCCAGATTACTATACCCAGCCAACATGTCTCTTATAGTCGAAGGGGAAACAAAAATCTTCCATGACATAAATAGGCAGAAAGAATTCATGTACCCAAAACCAGCCCTACAGAGAGTTCTGGAAGCAATACAAAGAGCTGAAGAAAGGAATGACTATACCCAAAGGGTTGCAGAAAGAATTCCAATGAAGGTATAACAGGGTAAACAGGGTAAAAGTATAGCTATAGCAAGAATATAAACAACAACAAAAAAATGACAGGATTCAATACTCATCTTTCATTAATAACTTTAAACATTAACGGAATGAACTCCCCAGTCAAAAGACACAGACTATATGAATGGATTAAGAAACAAAACACATCTTTTTGTTGTCTGCAAGAAACTCATCGCACTTTCAAGAACAGATACTATCTCAAAGTGAAAGGGTGGAAAAAAAGATACCAAGCAAATAGCACTAAGAAAAAAGCAGGCGTAGCAATCCTAATATCTGACAAAATAGACTTTAAACTAAAACTAATCAGAAGAGATAAAAGGGTCACTTCATTCTGATCAAAGGAATAATATACCAAGAAGATATTACAGTCACGAACATTTATTCACCAAACTCTGATGCACCCAACTTCATAAAAACAATCCTCAGGCCTTTAAGAACCAGATTACTCCCAACTCATTATATTAGGGGAGTTC